AGCAAAATGACAACAGGAAAACAATGGCCCCATTCACTCCTCAATCTGCTGCTCCTCCTGCCTTTATAGTAGGTTTCTGCCCATTTTTCTTAGCTGTCTTTCTCTGAATCTCCAAAGAAAACCCCACTGTGCACTACTTTCTTAGCGACAAACAATAGGCAGACACGGTTAGCAACAAGCTGGTGAATGGAGTGAATCATTAAAAGTGGATTTTGGACTTGCATTCAGCTTAAAATGAAGATGCAGATATGGACTTCGTTGAGTTTCTGCAACCTGCAAGTGGCCAAAAAAAATCAGTGATTGCAAATTTTTTTATGTAAAACTGAAACATGTTGTATTGAATCTGCATTTTTGCACATGACAAGAAGTTAAACATGCCGTGACAGACATGAGCGGTGACTGTAAAGGGACACACTGCTGCATGTTTTCTAGCAGCACTGTGACGGTAGTGCTTGATCACCGTGACGGCTACCCGAGTCTGAGAGGACACAGTTTGCTTCCTCTCGTGCAGAATCCGTGGCCCACTTTTCACAGCCGACTCTGCCCTCCACCACCGTCCTGCACTCTGTTTATCCGCCTCATCTCACCGTCTCTTTCCGCTTCTCAATTAATTTCTCACAACTCTCATCAAGATGCCAAATTTCCCCTCCGCCGCCGTCTTCCGTGCGCTGATTATCCAGCGATCATCTGGCGGAGCGGTATCGCCGGCGGCAGCTTTGACGTCTTATTGGGAAGCTGATTTGAAGCAGATTTCAGGAGGAGATGACTGGAATGCTGAGAGAAGCTGCAGCGAACTCAGGACCACGGAGAGGAGGACAGGATGCGATGAAAGGGGCGATTCTGTTGTTTTTCCTGCAGCTTCTGTATGCATCTGTGAATCAGGAGATTGTGCATGCAGAGGAGGGACAGCGAGGCGATTGTTAAACAGGCAGCGACAGCAGCAAGCAGCTCTTCCTGGAGTCCTGCCAGGCCACTGCAGGGGTGTGGATGTTCCAGGGTTGACACAGCAGGGACGGTTTGGCCCTCAGCCACAGAAATATAGACCAAAGCATCAAAGCGTGGAGTTGAAATCTCCATCCACTGTACGGCCAGAGGTTGAACACGGTCATCTGGCTGATTGATTTCAGCAAAAAAGAAGGGGGAATATGCATCCCCATAAACATGAATTTACTTGGAGTTCAGACAAAGCTGCTGTTAGTTTTCATTTTTCTGCACCTCAGAGCTGTAGTTTAATATTCGGTTCATTCAAGTCCACACTGCCTAAGTAGGAATGGGCCGAGGCTTAGCAACCGTTCAGTCATTCCTGCAGCCCGTCCTCCCAGAGGGATGCAGAACAGCAGATATTCTGGCAGTGAGCCTGAAACTTGGGCTAAACATGATTGACTTATCTGCAGGCTTGGCTTAAATTTACCTTCCCTGGTGTTTGCAGCAGATAAAAAGTGAAACACAGAAGCTTTGATTTCAGTTTTCATGATGTTAGCTTTCATTTGCACCATATAAACATTTAATAAATGGCTTTATAATGCTTTATAAAGTAGTGTTGAGCACATATAAGTAGTGATTTAGGGATTTTAACATCTGTTTCCCAGCTGCAGGATAATGTACACAGCAATGAATGACACAGTTGAAACTATAGAAAATATCTGCATTCATAAACACCTAAATATCAGTGTACTACATTAAATGTTTATGTGCTGCCTCTAAATGCTAAATAATGGGACTTAAAGTAAAATAAACACACTTGATTTGATGCCCTCAACTTGCAGACTAATAAATTCCAACACACACACAAAGAATGCAGTTTTTTCAAGTTGAAATTTGCATTTTCGAAGCATTTTATGACATCATGTCCACGTTAAAAAGTACATGCAAACCTGCATACGTCTTAACACTTGGTTACATTTTACATTTTTTATTCTTTTACCGCTTCCCTGCAAAAATGTCCCTTCAAATAACATGGAAGTACTAGTTGGAACTACTTAATTTGTTATGAATAGTTAACTTAAAAATGTGCGTTTATGCTGCCACTCATTAAACAAGTGGTAATGAACAATACTTTTGATTGTGAAAGAAAAACTTAATCACCCTAACTCTATGTAGATGGTTGGTTGAACATAACTTCATGAAAAATGATGCAAAATGTTGCATTTTATTTATTTCTTTATTTTAAATTTGTTAGATTTTGTAGGGGTGGGATTTTAACGCATTAATTACGATTAAATAATTACAACCAAAATAGCGCATTAGAGAAATCTGTCGCTATCCAGGACTGCTAACGCCAACAGCTCCGGCGGTTCCTGTGCTCGCTACAACATGCTTTGCATTCAGGTGGTACCGTCAGCTTGATGTGCTTCAGTGGGATGCAAATTCTTTTTTGCACAAGTTGCACAAAACCATGCTCTTGTCAAGGTTTCCATGAGGCAGTTTTTTAAAATGAAACTTACCCTCCATCAGTCCGAGCGATGCGCTCTCATCAGATTCCTCCATGTTTGTTGCTGCTAGCGTAGCGTTGACGCATCTTGTGCATCAGTGTCTGGATGCAAACTACGATTAAATGCGTTAATCGTTTTTTAGCGATTATTATTATATTATATATTATTTTTGTTGTAGTTAATTAATCGTAATTAACGCTTTAAAGTTTATTAGGGGTGGGACTTTAACACGTTATTTTCACGTTAATTAACACGCTGAAGTCCCACCCCTAATATTTTGTTGAGCTCAAACATTATTTATTAGTTCCCACATGTGCTTGATGACATTTTTGGGCTCACAAAACTGTTGCATCAGGTGCAATTAAGCTACATATATAAAAGAAAATTTCAATATCACAATAAATACATAAAGTTTTATCTCTACAGTTTTATCTGTATTGTCCCGCAATCCTGAAATCATCTTTCATGCTCTGAACAGATTCCAACCCTGAAATGGTGCAACGTTTAAAGCAGCTACTTGTACTCTAAGTTCTCTTCGTCTTCCTCTGTTACGGTTTTCGTTAATGATCGCAGTAAATAAAGCGTGAATATTTATTCCTCGTGTCGATTGCAGCAGCGCCAAGCCGATAAATCAGAATGTAATCGTGTTTCTGGGTGCGACTGTACTCGCATATTGACGTGCTCTGACTGCAGTCATCAGTAAATCATCATCTTCGTGTTCGCTGTCGGTCTGCAGGAAGGATTTTCCTCTCCGCTCAGCCTTGGAGAACCTCAGACAGCAGCAGTGAAGTTTCTGTTTCCTAGCAACCCTCGGTCCACCACCTTCATTTACTTCACTGTGTTGCAAAAAAAAAAAAAGGAGGGCCGTGGACATCAGTGGTGACAGCAAGAGACGGGGGATCTCCATGAAATATCCAAGTACTTGTGCAGAAAGGAGGGTTTCTGTTATTCATGCAAGACTGCTCCCAATCAACACATTAGACTGATTCTTTTAATGTCAGATGAGTTTTTAGAGACAACAAATCGATGACTTGCGTGCAGAAAATGCAAGAACTTCTAAGTATCTCGTACTCAGAGTGAAATGTCACCACTTGGAGCGGCGTCGTCTCACCCGGAAGCCTCTGATGTAACTCGTGCTGACTGTTCGCTCGGCCGGAGTGTGAAAACAAAATGTCACTTTGGTTCCGTTCACGTCAATAACAGGATCAGCCGCCGACGTTCCCGCCGGCCTCCTCTTCCTCCCTCAATCTGTGCCTCAAGAGGACAAATTACTCAATCAATCACTTTGACAATCCCGCCGCTAATCTCATTATTGGTATTCCTCCCGGTCGCCTCATTCTGCTGCTCTTCATCCATTAACAGCTTTGTTTAATCTGTGTTTGCCAGACGCCTCCCTTCGCTGCTTCTCTGCCCTTTTCTGTCTCTGCTCCTTGTCAATGTCGCCATTTTTACGTTGTCATTTTCTCCGTCTGCATCCATCTGTCCTTCTATTTACCTTTGTCTCTCTTCCTCCCTCGTTTATCATGTTTATGTTTCTAGTTGAACAATTTGCTGTTATTTTACAGAATTTCTCGTTTGTTGATTATACATAATAACTAGTAGAAAATCACAGAAAAAAACTAACTGTAAATAAACCCCACATCAAAAATCTATATTTTTACAAATACTAATTAGTTCTTCTATCCATTTTTTCAGTTTGTAAACGGCATAAAGTATTTTACAGATATTAGCTGTTAGTTAAAAGAAAAAAATATGTATATTACAAACTGTTATTTTACAGATTTCCCCAGTTTTGGTTAATTACAGATAATATCAAGTAAAAGTACCTCAAAAACGGAATAATTTACATGTTGACAGTAAAAAATAAAACAGTTTTTAAAAATAACTATTTAAATTAGAAAATAATTATGTAAAATATGTAATGTTATGTAAAATAATCCATGTGTTTTAAGGATTGATAAAATTGTAAATCATTTTTTAAATTACAAAAAATATTGAATAAAATCACCCAAAATCGTATTAATTTACATGTGGAGAGTAAAAAACTAATTAAAAAACAGCCTGAAACTGTGACTAATGTCCATAATGAATCAAAAATCTGTATTTATGCAAATATTATTTTTTTAATAATATGTGACTGTAAAATAATAGTTTTCTTGTATTTAAATCGGCTAAAAAAAATATGTATTTCTTACCAATATGTACCATTGTCTTTACTGTTTTGACAGTTTTTGAATGTCATGGGAATTTTTAAAAATATTTTTTCTGACACCTTTCCTGCCACGTTTTGACCATTTTTTTTTAACAGTGTACTTCTTCCTGCAAATGTATTCCTCTTTAATTTCCCCTGCAGCCTTTCTCTGTCCTCTTCTGTTTTGCTATAATATTATCTACAGACTGTCTTAAACCATCTTGATGTCAATTCCTCTCCCGTGTGATTAAAAGAAAAGAACGATGATTAACATATAGTTGACCTTCCTGTGCTTCTTGTTGTTGTATAACTTGCAACACTCGCGGTTCTTTCCCTTTGTCCGTGTCTGAAATCATCCCTTTAATCTTATTTTGCAGGTTGTGCGGGATCAGATCTCCCACTGTACGGTGAAGCTGCGTCAGACCACAGGACTGATGGAGTACTGTTTGGAGGTCATCAAGGAAAATGACCCCAGTGGTTTCCTGCAGGTAAGATTCATATCATGAGTCTATTTTTATTACTAGAAGCTACAGCTCAACCTTGTTCAACCTGCAAATAATGATGGAAAATGTTGCCTCAAGCACCAGTTCTTGGCTTGTGAACCCTTTAAGTTGCTCTCCAGTCATTGATTAAACCTGGAAATACTCCCCTCTGTGCATCAGAGTTACATACACTACGTCACTGTAGCTATGCCTGTTCTGAGTGGAACCTGTCCTGTTGAACCGCTGTATTGTCTTGGCCTCTGTGCTGCTGCTCAGTTTCAGTGTGTTGGCAATCTTCTTATAGCCGAGGCCATCTTTATGTAGAGCAACAATTCTTTATTTCAGATCCTTAGAGAGTTTCATGAGGTGCCATGTTGCACTTCCAGTGACCAGTGTGAGAGCAATAACACCAAATTTAACACACCTGCTCCCCACTCACACCTGAGTGCTTGTAACACTAATGAGTCACATGACACCGGGGATGGACAGACCCAATTTGGACACTTTCACTTAGGGGTGTACTCCCTTTTGTTGCCAGCGGTTTAGACATTAATGTATTGAGTTATTTTGAGGGGACAGTAAATTTACACTGTTTTACGAGCTGTACACTGACTACTTTACATTGTTGCAAAGTGTCATTTCTTCGGTGTTGTCGCGTGAAAAGATAGAATAAAATATTTGCAGAAATGTTTGTGACGTACTGTATTTGCAAGTTTTTTAGTTAGCCTTTTCACAAAGAAGATAACTGATCCAGAAAGCCCCACTCTGCAAGCTGACAGGATTGTTGCTCATGAAACTCCATACATTTCAATCTGGTTTGTTTACTGAAGTCAATCATAAGATATTTTGTAGGGATGTGGGTTCACTGTACAAACTTCACACTTGTTTGCTGGCCTGACATCAGTAAGGTTTATAGAAGTCTGAATCATCGTGCTCCTTTACCAGCTATAACCTACAGAAGTCTTTATCCCTGCACTCCTTTGAGAGCTAAACCCCCACGATGCTCTCTGCTTGCCAACCGAGTCTCCACCTGGTGGCACAAGCAGGTACTACAGCTAATCTACAATTCTTCAAGTTATCTCAGAAAATAGTCTCAGTGTATACTAAATATTAAATGACTCGGATCGGATCAGGAGCAAACAAAAAAACTGGATCATCTCTTATGCAGATGATGTGATCCTTTGATTTTGTGGCTCCAGTCAGATGTCGGTTCCCGTCAGACATCTAACTGTGGATGATTTTGTCCCCCTCAGATCTCCGATGCTTTGATCCGGAGGGTCCACATGACGGAAAGCCAGTGGGGGAAGGGAACGCTCACCCCGAGGATGACCAGTGACTTTGACCTCACTCTGGACAGCGGACCACTCCTGCAGACCATCCACCAGCTGGACTTTGTACAGATGAAAGGTAAAACACAAAGAGGCATGTTTGTTTCCCTTTAAGAGCCGATATCAGCCACACTGAAGCGCCCTCGAGCAAAGCTGCATGTCCTGATCTGCACTGAGGTTGCTGTCTGTAAAATATGAGCGGAAAAAACCTACTTTTATTATGATATTTATGAGTGTACTAAAAAAAAAGATGGACACTAATGTTTGGGAGCGCCCTTCTTTTTCTGTGACAGCACTCCCTGGAGTTTGCAGTCGCAATTTAGAGGCAGCTTGTTCTTGCTTGCGGTGACCTCTTTGGATTTCTAAATCACAAAGATATATCGAGAAGCTCGGGCACATGTTGGACACGTGAATAGATGTTTCCATCCAGTTTGTCCCAGTACCGGAGCACACTTCTGACACGTGTGTTGAGTTAAATTGGGGTTTATTTCAATGGTTATAAAACTACAGGTCCTACAGTGGCAAATTTATGAGTAGTTCATAAAATCAACATGTTGCAACTGTTTATTTACAACAAGAACAGCTTATTGCTCCCATTTAAAATATTGTTTCAGTATAATTCGTCCCACTACAAGCCAACAGCCTAATTGAGACACTTTTTTGTAAATAAACGCGTTGCAACCCGACTTTAAAGCCCAACATTAATGGACTTCAGCATTAATAGTTAATAGAAACATGAAGCAGGGCTTTGAATGACTTTGAAGTTGTTTTATTTTTATTATTAGTATTCCCTTTTAAGCTGTTACAAAAACAAGAGAGAGAGAGAACTGTATTTTGCTGCCTTTTCATCTTTGCTGATTAACGTATAAACCAGTGGAAAATAAATAAATGAATAATTCACTGTGCTGCTGAAAGGCAACCAGCAGCAGCTTTTAAGGTGGAATCTTGCTTGAATCAGCCAAAACACCTTAAATGTCAATGCAGCTCTTATTGTTAATTGTCTTTATTGGTTCCGTTGCTCGACATTGGGATGACTGGATGTCCAAGTGCTTAAGAAGATGTATTATTTTCTGCAGGTGTTTCCCAAAATATCCTGTAAATGACACAAAAAGTGACAGAAGTGGGAAGCTTTTAATAGTTTTATGATTAAGTGATAAATAATGAGCACATCTGCAGAGTCATACCACGCTGGGGAGTGTGCACGTGCGTGTGTGTGTGTGTGCACGTGCGGGCGAGCGTGATCGTCTTTTCATATCAGCGGGGCTGTAATCTGGCCTGGTTTTCCTCCCCTCCTCAGTCCCAGCTGCTCCGATGCTCCAGCTGGAGGAATGCTGCACTCAGAACAACAGCGCCACGTTGTCATGGAAACAGCCGCCGCTCTCCACCATCGCCGTGGACGGGTACATCCTGGAGCTGGACGACGGGAACGGGGGTCCGTTCAGGGTAGGTGTCCGCCCCGCAGGTACCGTTTTTTTCTCCACACAAGCCGGGATTTATCCCTTTACCGTAATAAACGACGACATTATTTTGCCTCTAGATAGGAACTTTTGTGAGATTTACACGCAGGACACAAAACAAAAAGTGAAAAAAAAAAAAACAACTCGAGTAATAACTCACCTTTACGGGACGCCCCCTCCCTCAGCTTCAACAATGGCTCGTTCATACGGTGCCAGCTCAGCCAGGCGGGGATGTGAAAGCGGCGTTTTGTAGCTGAAATCCCCCCGTGTGGCGGCCATACTGCTCGGCCCAGGTCATGTGACGGGCGCTGAATGACACGCCGTCAGGAAAAAGGGCCTGTGAGGCAGCTGTCGGCCGGGATGATCCTGCAGGAAGCGTGATCCGGCATCAAAGCGGCCTTCATACCCTCAGCGTGTAATCCATCCTCACAGAGACCCTCCCCGGCTTTCTATACGCTGAGATCCCTGCTTTGTTACGACAGCAACTTATACCTCCTTATACAATACAAGCACAATGGCCGAGGATATCTGTGTCTGAACTCTAAACCTCCGTACGCTCGCCCTCAAAGTCAGTCTGGGAGAGTTTCTTCAAGTCATGTTAACATTTGGGACGTAGCTTCCAGCCAAGGATTTTAAATCATCTTTTATTAGTGTGAAACAAATGAGTCGTGTTTCTTAAATTGGAGGGAAAAATGCCATTTTGCTCTTTAAATCCGACAAACCCCCCGAGGCTGAGACTTCACAGTTTCGGCACAGAGAGGGAAAGAAGAAAGTCATGTTGAGTAGAACAGAGGGAAGAACAAGACTTCTTTTGTTGTTAGATCTGTGTCTCGCTATGAAGACGGTAAATTAGGAAAGACAGGGTTTCTTCTTCTGGACAAACAGGAAGAAAATGGCCAGAAAGAAAGTTTTTGGCTCTTTGAAAGCAGGAATCAAGGTATAGTTATGGATCCACCACCTGAACAAGAAGGATGTGAGGTTTAAGAACTCATGGCAATGTAAAGGAATGGTACACCACAAAGAGAACACCTTAATTCAGTTAAATTTGTGGCCATTGTTGTGCATTTTTACTCACTGTGGGTTCATTTTTCACTGCAATCTGAAGTCCTGCACCTCTATAGAAACAACACAACCATGACTGGAAACAGAGAGAGCTTCTGTGCAGAATGACAAAGCCATAACGCCATAAATAAGAAAATAAAAGAAAAAATCTAAATTGTATTTAGTGCCCACAGGTGTTACCAATACTGGAAAAAATGGTAACTCTACATATTATAGGTATTTTGCTATTTTACATTTTTATTTGTTTCCATACTTGTGTCCTCTCTGCTCTGTGTGAACACAGCCTGCAGTTCAGCCGAGTACTCCTTGAATTTTTGTCTTGTAACTGTTAACCGTAGCTTAGTCACTAATAGCTTTATGGTTTCGACAAGGAGCACAGAATTTTTTGTTTTTTCCAGAATTTGGCAAATGGTTCATTTTAGGGGAATTTTTAAAATAAAACATATTGAATAAAGTGATTTGGATGAAATATCACAAGTTTAAGCTGCGATTTTGTTACTTTTTCCAAACTTGAAAATCTGATTATTCTTTCTATTTGTATCATTTCTGGCTCTGATAAAAGGTGTAATTCTGTCAAACTTTTAATTGTCAGGCATGCCTTTTAAACCAGTTGGCAGGTTTGGGGGTTCAGAGGTTTAAACTCTGGAATCTTGTTCTCTCTAACATTCAATCTTCATTGTCATCACGACTGCACCGGTGTCGTTTTAACAGATTGTGGTTCCAGTTTGGCTAAATCCTGATGACTTGATGGGAATTCCGGATGAATATGAGTTTCTAACTTTAGAAAACAGTGTTTTTAACATCCTATTACGACAGGAGAAAATGAGTTTTCAAACTGTTATGTAACTTGCCGAGCTAAGACGAGATGGTAGGCCTCGAAAATTAAAAAAACAAACACCAAACACTCAGATGATCCCCCATATTTCAGTCTTTCCTCTCTGTCAAACTGCTACCATCCTTTCATAACCCAACATAGGCTCTAGCTGTTGTTCGTCTGAGCAGCTGGGGCAGCATAATTAAAGTGGCTTGATGGCAGTAACTGGAGCTTTTCACCCAAAATGTGAGATAATAATCAAAATATTGGACTTTTTGATGCCTGCTGTGCACCGGTAGCCTCGTAAATGTAGGTTCGGTAACTTTACCAGCGTGTGAAGAGACAGAAAAGGGTTGAACTCTACGCTGCCTGTGAAACGCGGCTGGTCCGGCAGCTGTTTGTCGAAGCATCCTGTGTTTTAATTTAGGAAAACGCAGCCAGTGACCTCGAGCCATTTTACTCTCCTCTCTCCGGCTTGTTAGCTCAAACCAGCTGCTCGTAATCTCTCACCCTTTGAGTTCATTTCGGGTTCTGTAATTGTCTGTTTCATCGCTCCGTCTTAATTACAACCATTCCGTAAGAGGGTGATCATTTGCGTGCTATCTGCCAACTGATTCGCCAACTGTATCCACCAACTGCTAATTGGTGGGCGGTCGATGCCAAATTGTGCTCCAGCTTGGAGACTCTTCACTGTTAACCTGTGATTTACACCAGAAAAAACACAATACAGAGCATCTTGGAGCATGTTTTGGAACTTTTATGATGAGTTTCTTCCTCTGGGATCGGCAATTCAGGCTTGAAACTGAACTTTTCTGAAAGTGTTTGAGCACTTTGAAGGCAGGAATCAGTGTGTAGTTATGGATCCAACACCTGGACAAGATGTGAGTGAGTTTCAAGAACTAATGGCGAGGAACAATTGATGTAAAGGACTAGTACACTACAAACTGTAAAAAGTACATTCTTTTGTCCTTCATAATTGTATTACATTGGTGGAAATGCAAGCAGAAAGTTCAAGTTGCATGTTTAACAATTGTTGGCCGTTTTTTGCTGCTGTCACATTTTTACTCACTGTGGGTTCATGTTCCATATGAAGTCCTATGGCTCTATAGAAACCACACAGTGTTGGTTTAAGTAGAGGAAACTTAATTGCCTTTTGTACAAGATAAAGTTATAGTGCCTTAAATTATAATTATGAAAATGAAAACAGACGTATAAAAGAAGAAAAAATGAATCAACATTTTCCAATATAGAGCATCTTGGAGCTCGTTTTACAACTTTTATGATGAGTTTCTTCTTCTGGGAATTCAGGCTTGTAACTGACCTCTTCTACATGTCTAAGAGTGTTTTGAGCTCTTTGAAAGCAGGAATCAGTGAACAGTTATGGATCCACTACTTGGATAAGAAGAATGTGAGTGAGTTTCAAGAACTCATTGCAAAAAGCGATAGATGTAAAGGAGTAGTACACCAAAAACTGTAAAAAGTAGACCCTTTTGTCTGTAATAATTGTATTAAATTGGTAGAAATGCACACAGAAAGTTCAGGTTGCATGTTTAACTCATTGTTGGGGTTTTTTTTGCTACTGTTACATTTTTACTCACTGTGGGTTCATTTTCATTATAAAGTCCTGCATCTCTATGGAATAATAATGGTAGTATTATTATTACACTGTATATACATATACAAGAGCAGAATGTACATTTATGTTTTGTGTTTAGATATATTTTATGTCATATTAATACTTGTGTTTATATATATTATACTTTCCTACTTCTTTTAAGACTTTTGAATGGGAGCATCTGTAACAGAAAGCTATTTCCTCTCGTGATCAATGAGGTATTTCTGATTCTGATTCTGAAACCACACAGCGTTGGCTAAAGGAGAAATAACTTAAAATGGTATTTTGTTCAAGATAACAAAGTTATAATGCCATAAATTCTACACAAATGAAAACAGTTGAAATTCTTTGATTTATTTTTACGAATCTTTAAAAAATAGAATCAGCATGTACAACATTTTTCCAAGTGCCCTGAAAAAAACCCAATATAGAGCGTCCTGGAGCACGTTTTGGAGCTTTCAACCTTTTTTTATTTTGTGCCATACCTGTGTCGGATGCAGCACTTTGCCAAAAAAACAATTTTCCCAAATTGCGAGGGAAGTTTTCCCTTCCTCCTCTACTCTCGCTCTGACTCATTGAGTTTCTCCAACGCAGCTTCACACTGAGCTCGGCGAGTTTGTGTCCTCGTGTCTATTTATACTCCGGTGTGGGCTGCTGCTCCCACGCTCAGTTGTACAAACTCTCACTTATTGCCCTCACCGCCACATCCGATCAGGTCACTCCTTCAGACGCTGCCGGGTTCGACAAACAGGGCTGCTGGGTGTCATAGTTACGCACGTGATGCATCCGCCGGTTTAACAGGACTTCAATGTGTGTTTTACAGGAAGTGTACGTGGGGACGGAGACCATCTGCACGGTGGACGGACTCCACTTCCACAGCACGTACAAGTCCAGAGTGAAGGCCTTCAACGCCAGCGGAGTGGGCCAGTACAGCAAGACTCTGATCATGCAGACCTCTGAGAGTACGTCGTGACTCTACATCTTAGAGGAGAAAAACAGAATTCATCCGTTTATTCCTCTGATCCCGGACGCTCAGTCAGTATGTGTTCGCAAAGTTAGAATCCAGAAAGAGCCAAGACTCCCAAGTCAGTGTCTGCAAGAAAAAACAGACTCATTAGTGCTTCTTCAGTGACTCAGCTGGACTCACATGTATCAGTTCCTTAGCAAGAAAACTTTATATCTGTATCTATATATTGCACAGCATCACCGCCCACGTATATGCCAATATTAGCTTATTGCAGATGCATCAATGCCAATGCACACACTGTCTCCTTTTAATAGTTTGTACACCAGTGACACTGAATATTAGATTTTCACCACAGACTGTATATAAAGCCGGACAAAGCGTCATCATTTCCTCCCACTGTACAAAAGTGAAGCCAAAATATTGCAGAAATAGATGCTGCAAACAAAACCTTTCTATTTTGCCTTCACTTCTGTGGAGCTTTCAAGTCGTCCATCTTTATATGCAGGCTGTGAAATAATTTGCTCAAATACAGTCGTTCACATAAAAGCTCCAAGTGATCCTTATCAAGACAGCATGTTTACATTACGTAGTTACTTTAATGTCTTGAGCTCAATCCTTAGATCAGGTTAGAAGCCAGTCGAGACTATTTTTAGCCAAGAACCGAAGCCCAATCCCTCGTTTCCACCCGCTGTCACTGAAGTGAATTTGAATATTTCCTTAATATGTGCAGCATCAATAAGTAATTCATTAACAACGAAAACAGACATACTACAGACCCTGAAAGCTGCTATTGTTTCACCCAAAGACTTACAGGAATGATGTTCTTGCTGATTTCAACCTAAATTTAATACAAACATGTCAGCTGGAGGTCATCAAGCCTCACAGAAGACCTGCTTGTCACTAGGAAAACCCCCACAATGCCCCTGCTTGCCAACACTTATGCCACCTCCTCTGGTCACTACAGTATTAAACAGTAAGAGGCTCCTGCTATAGCTAATCTACAATACTTGAGGCGTGTATTAGCTAAGAAAACGTTAGCAGAAGATATTAAAAATGGGATGCAAATACAAATTTGATAGGGATACATCTCGTGGTTATTATTAAAATAAAAATTCTAGCAGCCAAAATAGCATCATAGTACAAGGCAATAAACTATAGATGACAAATCTGTGACAATAAAATGTTTTATTTCAGTCGATATTGAAAGTTTCTGACAATTAGAGATCAGAGCACAAAAGGTTTATTTTGAAGTCAACCAGCTTAGCTTGAATTTAGCCACTTTAGACTTTATTTTCGAAGGTACCTGAGATTTAATTATATCGTTAACACAAAACATGTATAAGTAATTGTACACACACAAAAACAAATAGATGAGGATAAAGGAGTGATCATGCTGGTTTGCGTCAGATGTATCCGGTTAAACCATTTTCTAATTTCGTTTTATTGCCCAGGCCTGTATCATTATCAAAATTTTCTGACTCCCAAACATCAACATCGATCCAATAAGCTCAGTTTTGCAGGTTGCAGACTCAGATGCAGGCAGGTTCAGAAGAGCTTCGCCAGCAGGTTGCTCAGTCCAAACAGTCAAAATAAAAAAAGGCAAATGGCATGCAAACATGTTAAAAAGGCTGTAACTGACGGGCAAAACAGAGAGAGTGGAAGCAAAACACACTCTAGAATATCATAAGCGACTACATGGAAATTATGTTGTCACAAGAAACACCAGCATCCATTTTTAGATACTCTCTGCACCTGCCACGTGTTTGCCTCCGTATCTTTGCTCCTCAGGTGGATTTCGGTTCCCAGACACGTTGGATGACACACTTTATTTTGCATGTTCTCGTCTTTAGAGAGTCTCGGGTACATTTGATGTGATGTTTGATTGTGATGCCTCCATAAGTTGTGATAAGTCTGATTCGTGGTTGTGTGCTTTGGCAAACAGCTGGCAGGTGCTTTGTCACAGGTGTAATAACAATAATCACACAGCTTCACAGACCAGAGTCTTGGCTCACATTCTGTCTACCTTTGGGAGCAACTTGTTCGTTTTACAGCCGGCAAATCTGAACTGAACTCCGGGAGATCTGAGGAATAATAAATTGTTGCTGCCAGACGAAAGCATCTTTAAACTTCTTAGAAATCTAAGATCCACTGTCTTGGCAGATTTTCAAATGCAAACCACACTTTTTGAGTTAATTATGAGTTGTAGTGGCTTTTATATTTAATGTAACGCTGTGAATAATAACAGTTAAAGCTTCCAACTTATCTGTTACAAGATTTGAGTCCAGCAGCAGCAGCAGCAGCAGCAGCAGGACGTGGATTCTGTTGGAGGGTGTGCTGCTGGTTTAATCCACCCATGTGCTTGCTTTCCCATTAGTTTAATGCTGCTGTGCATAGATGGGGAAGCTTGTCATCCATCAGTGGACCTGAAAGGCCCAGACAGCCTCCCTACCTGTCAGAGGGAGCACTCAGCAGCTGTACAAAGGGATCTAACCACTCAGTGTTTTTGCAGCCTTCACCCACGGCCGCGCTGTGCTTTGATTTCTGTCAGGAAAGAAGCGAAAGCAAGAATTTATCAATCACAGCGACCCCCTCCCTTTTCTGTTTGTTGTTGTGTTCAAGTCTTCGGTGGTTCGTTTCTAGGATCTGGGGATCTTCCTCTGGTCTTTCGCCCGCTGAGCTGAACCAGCTTCCCTGATCGATTTTTTTTTTTTTTTACCCCCTTCGCCTTCTCCTCCCGACCCCTCCTCTCCACTGTCTGCTTCACGGCTTCGCTTCGCTCCCCTCTTTCTCCTTTTTCCTCTACTTCCTCCCTCCCCGTCATTTCACATTTCAGCTGGACTCCCTCCATGCGATATTCAGTCTATAGGCACAGGTATGGACAGCTCTCATTGCAGACTAATCCCCCTTCAGGCCATTGTCTGTTCCATCAGTGACGTCCTCACATTCCAACCAGCAGGTGGGCAGTTTGCAGCTCTGTGGGCTCCACGTATTAAACGTCCAATACTGGCCTCCAATAAATGTCTTCCCTTTGGGAAATTAAGTCATGTAATGAAACTTTACTGCATGTAGTGGACAGTAAAGTCCGGTGGAGCCCGTAAAAACTGCCAACGCCTGCCTGTTCAACCCCAACATTCCTCTGTATAGACTGTAGGTAAATACTGCTGTATTTTTCGACACTGAGTCAAGCAGCATTGCAAAATGTGTTGTTTGATTTAACAGCTTGGAGAGCGATGTGTTAATCAAAGAACCAGTTCACCTGAAGTACAATAAAGAATATTTTTCTACCAACCTCTAACGGCATCAGCTATGAGGATAGCTTGGAAGAAAAGTCATTAATATGATTTATTAAGCTTTCCGTGTAAAATATTTTAGGGCATTAACCTTAATATATACTGAAAATTAGTCAGGTAACTTGGTATCACGTATGCATTTATATAATTTTATATATTAATATTTAAATCAGCCAGGAACATTTGTAATTTATATATAATATTGTAGGGCCTAAAGCTTAAATTTATTACGTTAATTTTATGTGCTGCACTGTTAAAAATGAATGTTTTCAACTGTGATGTTTTGAACAGTTTCTCTTTATTTTAAAGCTTATCCCTCATGTAATTAAATTGCAGGTCATATCCAATAAAATCACAGAAACAAACCCTTTAATTTGCATGTTTTATATAAAACAAAACACAGTAAAACTGTAAATAACATTCACATCAAAAGTGTATATCTTTACGAATGGTATTTAGTTCTTTTACTGCGTTTGACCATAAAATTCCAGTATTTTTAATGTCTTTTAAATCAGCAAAAATCTTATTATTTTACAAATATTTTAAGTTTTCTGAAAGAACGAAGGATTGAAAAATGGTAGATTATTATTTTTTTGATAGTTGACAATAAAGTACACAATTGTCACTGTATTTAAAACATTACTTTACTGGTATTTGCTGTCATTTTACACTTTTTTTAAAACAGTTTTTTAACTTTACAGTATTCCACCTTTATTGAAAATATTTTTCAAAGTTTTGTTTTTTCTTTTTTTTTTTCTTTACAGGATTTTTTGTTTTTTGTTTTTGCAGTGACTTAATACATTTTTACAGTAGACATGAATCGAATTTTGTTTGCGGTGTTCGTGGCAGTAAAAAGTTTAATCAGCCCGACAATGACATACAATCAGCTGATCGGTTAAAACGCCTTGTGCAGCATCATTATTTGTTTTTCTATCAACCTGCCAAGTGTTAGTTCAATATTTATTCTTCTTTTAAATACTTTGTTTTCGTATTTTGGGTGAACTGAACTTTCTTGACAATAATTACATGTTTTTTTTTTCATAAGAAGATGTTAAATATGTATTCAAAAGAGTCTATTTAGTAGATTTTCTGATGAATAATTTATTTATCTAAATGTCACAAACCCAATCTGCTGTTCCAAGCAGGCACCGGTTAAGATTTGCAGACTGCTTGACACAGGTGTGATATTTTAAGAATTATTAAGCTTATTAAAGTATAAGTTAAGTCATATAGTGTAAATATAAGGATTATTAATCTTATTAAATACGACTAAGTGATACTAAATCTTCTTCTTATCTTTCATAATATTACTGTTCCTTCCACTTAGATATTTTTTACAGTGTAAGCTCACCTCATCGAACCTTTATCCTCCAGATTCATGTTTTGTTTGTCAAGTCATCATCACTGCATCAGGTCCTGCTGTGGTTGTGTATAAATACTAAACAAACAGTGTGTGTTTAACTCCTCCTGTTTACAGTTGCTTGGTTCACCTTCGACACGGCCTCCGCTCACCCCGACATCATCTTCTCCAACGACAACCTGACGGTGACGTGCAACAGCTATGACGACCGGGTGGTCATGGGAAACTCCGCCTTCTCCCGCGGCGTCCATTACTGGGAAATGACCGTCGATCGCTATGACAACCATCCCGACCCGGCGTTTGGCATCGCTCGGGCCGACGTGTTGAAGGACGTGATGCTGGGGAAGGACGACAAGGCCTGGGCCATGTACGTGGACAACAACCGCTCCTGGTTCATGCACAACAACTCGCACACCAACAGGTAACGACGAAACTGAACAACGACTGTGGTTGGTTGGTTGGTTGGTTGGTTGGTGTTTTGTTTGGTTGGTGTTTTGGTTGGTTGGTTGGTTGGTTGGTTGGTGTTTTGGTAGGTGTTTTGGTTGGTTGGTTGGTTGGTGCTTTGGCTGGTTGATGTTTTGGTTGTTTGGTTGATGTTTTGGTTGGATGGTTGTTTGGTGTTTTGGTTGGTTGGTGTTTTGTTTGGTTGGTTGGTTGGTTGGTGTTTTAGTAGGTGTTTTGGTTGGTTGGTTGGTTGGTTGGTTGGTTGGTTGGTTGGTTGGTTTGCTGGTTGGTTGGTTGGTTGGTTGGTTGGTTGGTTGGTTGGTGTTTTGGTAGGTGTTTTGGTTGGTTGGTTGGTTGGTTGGTTGGTGTTTTGTTTTGGTTGTTTGGTTGATGTTTTGGTTGGATGGTTGGTTGGTTGACAAATATCAAGGCATTTCTTTTCTTTAAGTGGTCACCAAACAGAAAGAATGGAAGCTGCAGCTTATGTATGTAAAAATTTGTCATGTTTTTTATCTTCATTGTAAATTTTTATGTAAAATCTTAATCTGAAAACTGACTAAGTGACTATGGTGGAATTAAAAGTACAATATTTGCTTCTGAAATGTTGTGGCAAAGGTGGTATCCAATGGAAATACAGTAGAAGTACTTCAAAATTCTACTTACTTACAGTATTTTAGTAAATATACTCGGAGGACTTCTACCATAGAAGTGATCTGCAGGATGTTACTACAAACAGCGCTGCTTCCATGTGACTACCTCGTCAGTAAATGTTTCTCTGTGTGTCTGTGCAGGACGGACGGAGGCATCGCTAAAGGAGCTACGATTGGAGTCCTGCTGGACTTCACACGTGGGATCGTCATCTTCCTGGTCAACGATGAGCAGCAGGGTCCGGTGGCGTTCGAAGGCCTGGAAGGAGCCTACTACCCCGCCATCAGCCTCAACCGAAACGTCCAGGTAGAACACCTTACTGAACATACAGGGGCCGCACACTTCATTTAAAGTAGTTTCAGGTGTGAACTGCAAAACATCTGTATATTTAGGTGCTTACAGCTGAATTTAGACACGTGTCCTTGTGGTTTAGTCTCTTGATCCATAGGAAACAATATTCTGCACGTCCACAATGTGTAACTCTAGAACAATAGCTCTTAAAAATATGTGTTCATGGTCATTAAGCACAAATTTGTACCGAAAGCATATTATTGTTGGAATATTTGAATGTGAGCTACACTGCAAAAAATTTTTAAAAAAATAAAAAATCTGGAATAACTAAAACCCTGAAGGCAAATGTGAAAGAAAAAATATAAGAATTATTAATTAAAGAAAGTGGACAGTGTAATGGTAATAAAAAACAGTTGATGCCTTCATACCGTCTTGATACAATGTTACAGTAAACAAGAGTTTTTAATTGGCCAAAAAGTGAATTTATCAATTCATTTTCCTATTAATAGCTTACATACTTGTACATATCAGGTCACATATTGTGTTCTAGTGACACTGATCAGGATGCATTATTGAGTCGACACACTCAGTCGCTGCCAACCACAGGGGGCGCTATTTAATCATCAGACTCATTTACATCTGCGTGAGCAATGCTGCAAGCAGAAACTACAGGTTTTATTTGTAGATCAATAAATTATCCCGCCTGCAGTTAATATTCATTAAAACGGCCCTTCTAACTTTTACAAATATGGACTCAGGGGCTTAAACCTTAAAAGAGGAAACTTCAAAGACTCGACAACAGTTGGTAGCTTTGAATTTCTTATTGCTCTCGGCCAGTTTTTTCTTACTGTAAGTGCTGTGATGAAAGAAAAACATGCCTCCCAGATAAAACACTTAGGTGGGGAAATGGCTCAACAGCTCCACCTGCAGGAAGGAAAACAGGAGTGTGAATGTGTTTTATTTTCTTCTTCAGGTGACGCTGCACACCGGCCTACCCATCCCTGACTTCTACACCCCCGGGGAGGCAGATCCGACCGGCTCCGTGTGCTAAAGACTCACCAGCACCTGCTTTAGGAAAACCTCTCCAGGATTTCCCAGAGTTCATCCTGCCAGTCAATAACTCTGATCCCACCCTCGGTTCCCTATA